TCTGAGCTCCTCTCTTCCGGTTCGCTATGAATTCTATAATACATTCTTGTAAACTGTGGTCACGCATTGCGCTGTCCTAGGCTCTGGGGACCACTGTTCTGCTCTCTACTTGAAGGAAACCACCTTCTTAGCTCCAGCCTGCCATGCTACGCTCACCAGATGCTGGGAGGCTGGATAACGGGGATCAAACACTTTCTCATTACCACCAGCAGTCCTCTCCCAACTCCAGGGCCTCTGCCCTGGCCGGAGCGCTCGGTCTCTGCCCACCCAGGATCGGAGACACCCGGCCTGGCGCCAGCCTCGGCAGCCGGCCCCTCCTGCGCCGGGGCTCCCTCCGTCAGCCTCGCAGCTGCCCTGCTCCGGGACTCGGGAGGCTCTGCGCACCTCCGTGGATGGTCACCGCCAGCGCTGCCGCAGCGGGAACTCGGCTTGTCCCCACCGCCACCGGCACTCTGGCTGGGGCTTTGGTCCCCAGTGCTGCGGGTTGGGGGGCGGCGCCTGGCGGGAGGTGCTGGGGTCAAGGGTGGAATCCTCTTGCAGGGCTGGACGTGTGCCCCCTGGGGATGCCTCAGCTCTAGCAGCAGTTGGGCCCGTTTTTTTAATCCACAGGCAGGAGCCCGGGGCCCCTCCCCAAGCCCTCACCAACCAGACGCCTCAGTCTCATCCCGGGCTTTCAGCCTCCAGAATTGTGGGCTGAAATAATCCGCGTAACTACCCAGGTTCGGCCATTCTGTTACAGCGGAAGAAAACCGCGGGAGATGGCAGCTTCTCCTCGGAGCTCCGGGCGCTTGCTCGCCGTCTCCCCTGCACGCACCCTCGGCAGCTCACACTTGGCTTCTGCAAGTCCGTCTCCCACACGTGCCATCGCCCCTCGCAGTACGCAGTACGCGGCCCCGGGATCCACCGGGCCGTCCAGGGCCCCTTCCTCCACCCCTTTGTTCTCCCCACCCCCTGCTTCTGCCCTTGACTTTCAGGGCCCCCCTGCACGCCCCCCCTCCTCGAGGCGGGGCGCTCCACGGCGTCTGTGCCTCCTCCACTCTGTTCTCTGACCGCCTTGCTCATGGAGACGGTTGCTCACTGCTTTGGAAGAACACCCACACGGCCCTCTGCTCTCCGAGGGTCTGGCCACCGCCGGCTTCTCCCACGTCTGATCCAAGCTTGCTCAGCACCTCCCCCTGGCCCTGCAGCCCGGCACAGGGCGCGCCGCACCCTTCACTGAGTAACTCCTCAGGGAGCCAGGAAGGGCTCCGCCGACCACCAACCACTCTGAGCCCTGAAATCAGTATGCACAGAGCAGCTCCCGGGCTGGTTCCTGGTATCACGAATGCCCAGGTTTTGTGCTGATGGAATCTTCTACACTAACATGAATTTTCAGTTTACAGACTTATGTAAAGTGGCTCATTTTGTGCTGTCCGAAGAGTCACAGAAAACTACTAGTTATAAATAGTTTTTGTTAGCCAACATTTCTTGATCATTTCATATTTTTTGGGAATGGATTAAAAATGGCAAAAAGAAAACAGGAAAGTGTTGCAGAGACCAACAATCTTGGCATCAGCATCCTTTTCTTATTTCTTTTCATTACTTTTTAAAAATCAAATATTTACTTACATTGATTGCCATCTACTTTCAAGATTCTGGTCTACTTCTCACAAGTATAGGACAATCACCTGACTTTAAGTAAGAGCCTGGTTTTGGTAGCAAATATTGACACTATTTTTCAATTTAACTTTGGGGCCCTGATCCCAAATTAAAATACAATAGTGCATATTTAAGTATATTGGAATTTACAACTATGACTATAACAGGGTGGAAAGCAACAAAGGGACTGAAAGCAACAATCAGGACAAGATGAATGAAAACGTTTCTGGCCAATCCCTGAAAAGCTGATTCCTACTGGATAGTCCATTTTCCATCTACTAAGCATGTCTCTTCTAAAAGGTTGATTTCTATAGCCAAACGCTAATCATTTGTCCCTTGCATTCAAAAAACCTCAGGAACACTGGCTGGGCAGCACAGCGGTGAGTGCAATCAGAGCGGCGTGTAACTTGCATCAGAGCCAACTTACTATTGCGCGCAGTCGATCAACTGGTACTCGTTTGACCTCTCAAAGCATGCCTTCACTCCTTCATCATCCCAGAGCTTCTTCACATGATCAAAGAATTCCTAAAGTTTGAAAGAGGTACAAATAAGAACACACGTGTGTTAAGATCCATCAAAAAGTTCAAAGTAAAGAGACACTGCAGAAAGGGTTTTTTTCCTGCATTGACACAGATTGCTTTCTATGCAGATCTGCATTCCAGTATGATGAAAACGCTTCCATCCAGGCCAGCACCACGGAAGTCAAATTGCAAAACATTGTTATCATTCCAGAAAGTCTCCCAAAATGAACATTACAAGTCAAGAATCAATGCCATCCATTCACTATAAATACAAAGAATGGCACAATTTTAAAGTTTTAAGTACATGGTTGTTAACTGGCACCTTGGCAATGAGAAGTCATGCCTATTACAATGTCAAATTCCAGCTTAGCTGCTTTTAAGTTTTTGATGGGAGCCATGATTAGGTATGAACATAGTCAATAAGATGGCTTAATTTGATCCAGATGCCTTTTGGGGAAAATAATTTTTGGAGGGCATTTTAAGAAGTTATGAGTGACTGTGCGAACCCTTATTTTTGGTTCATGAGATCCCTGTGCTTGGTTTCAGCCATTATGGCAAACAGGGCACCCACTTGCCTCATCTCAAGTAAAAGGTGGGCCTAAGGATTCATGTTCACAAATTTATCCAAAGTGAATTCACAATGCTGAGGAAGCAAAGACTGTTAGTTATGAACACAGAAGAAGCTATGAAAAGGTTCACAAGACACCTGTTGGAACCTGCACACCTCCTGAATCCACAGTTTGCCCCTGCGAGGTCTGCAGGCAGGGTTCTGAGGCTACACGGTCAGTGTGCAGCCACTCCTGCCTTCATGTTCACCAGAACTGCCACATTTCCTAAGAATCAGCACAGGATCTTGGGAGTTATAAAAGGCTGGGATGGAGGGGGCTGGCACTTTTTCTGAGAGATTCATGATTCCATGTCTTGTGAGGCTTGATGATCCTACACTCTGGGGGACCTGCCTGAAAACAAAATGAATACAAAACTAGCCACATACAACCTTGGGAAAGGAGTTAAATGAGGTGCCTGAGCTTGAGTTTTATTAGCGTCTAGTAGTCGCAGGAACAATCTTTTAAGTTATGGTGTATATCTCGGTATCTATCATCATCATCATCATCAAATCCAAATTGTCGGGGCAGGTGTTGTGGCACAGTGGGTTAGGCTACCACTTGGAATGCCTGCATCAGGGGGCCGGCACCAGCTTCCCATATGGGCGCCAGGTTCTAGTCCCGGTTGCTCCTCTCCCAGTCCAGCTCTCTGCTGTGGCCCAGGAAGGCAGTGTAGGATGGCCCAAGTGCTTGGGCGCCTGCACCCGCGTGGGAGACCAGGAGGAAGCTCCTGGCTCCTGGCTTTGGATCGGCGTAGCTCTGGCCGTGGCAGCCATTTGGGGGGGTGAACCAACGGAGGGGAGGCCTTTCTCTCTGTCTCTCTGTCTGTCAAAAAAAAAAAAAAAAAAAAAAAAAGGAATGCCTGCATCCCATACTGGAGTGCCAAGTTGAGTCCAGTTACCTCGCTTCAATCCTACTCCCTGCTAACGTGCCTGGGAAGCAGCAGAGATCGTTCAGGGACTTGTGTCCCTGCCACCCCTGTGGGAGACCTGGATCAAGTTCCTAGTCCCTAGCTTTGGTCTGGCTCAGGTCCCCACCTGTTGTGGGGATTTGGGGAGTGAACCAATGGAAGGAAGATCTCTCTCCCCTTCTCTCTGCCTTTCAAATAAATGAATGAATAAATAAACAAATCTTTAGAAAAATCCAAATTGTCAACAGTTGACAACACAGGGCCACTCTCCACCCGAAGGAAAGTGGCTGAGACCCTCGGTTTTTATCTTGTCTCCTTAGCTTTGCCTGTCTTCTGGAATGATCCTCATGTTCCCAGAAAGAGTTTATAGGCATCCTTAATCTTTCTTCCTTCTGGTAGCCAAACAGACACACACCTCTAAAGAGGCATGATCCATTATGCTGTTCCCATGAGGGCCTTGGAAGAGACATGTAACCTCATGTCATTGCAACACACATTTGCTTATTGCTAGCTTTGGGATACCTGATTTCACCATGATAAACTTATGTATAAATATCACCAAGTTTATTCAAATCTACCACACATACCACATTTTATAAGAATTATATTATTTGTAAGAATTATCCCCAGTAATAAGGGTTCTAGTGGCAATTTAAAACAAGACCAATGTAAAACTGGTCAATGAAAGAAAAAAAATTGAACCCCTTTATCTGGTTTGTAAGAATTAGGAGGTGGGTATTTGGTGCAGTGGTTAAAGCTCAGGACACCAGAGTCCCAAATCGGAGTGCCTGGCTCTAGTCCTGGCTCTGTTTCCCACTCCAGCTTCCTGCTAATGTGCACATAGGAGGCAGCAGGTGATGGTCCAAATAGTTGGATCCCCACCACCCATGGGGGAGACCTGGATGGAGTTCCCAGCTCTGGACTTCCTAATCTTGAGGGCCTTGGGGGACTGAACCAGCAGGTGAGAGCTCTGATTGTGTCTCTGTCTCTGCCTTTTAAATAAATAAAAAAGGAAAGAGAAAAAAAACTGGACAGGAAAGCAGGCAGCACACTGGTCAAGAAATCTTTAGAAAGTGTCTTCAGTTGCTCGTGCCCCCAGGCCACATGTGGAGCGGCCACCTGGTGATCACACCTTCCCACTGACCCAGGGGCTGAACATGGCGGAAAGGCAGGAAACACAATGGCTCAGTGAGGTGGGGGCTGCCGGCAGCTCCATCCTGCTGGAGGCACCCACTGTGACCTGGCACTGCGGAGGCCCTCACACCACCAGAATGGCAGGCTCCCTCGCTTTCTTTTTTTGTAGATTTTGACAGGCAGAGTGGACAGTGAGAGAGAGAGACAGAGAGAGGTCTTCGATTTCCTTTTGCCGTTGATCACCCCTCCAATGGGCGGCCGCGGCCGGCGCGCTGCGGCCGGCGCACCGCGCTGATCCGATGGCAGGAGCCAGGAGCCAGGTGCTTTTCCTGGTCTCCCATGGGGTGCAGGGCCCAAGCACCTGGGCCATCCTCCACTGCACTCCCTGGCCACAGCAGAGGGCTGGCCTGGAAGAGGGGCAACCGGGACAGAATCCGGCGCCCCGACCGGGACTAGAACCCGGTGTGCCGGCGCCGCTAGGCGGAGGATTAGCCTATTGAGCCGCGGCGCCGGCTAGGCTCCCTCGCTTTCAAACTCAGTTTAAAACCCGAGGATCGAGGATCGGAGGCCTGTAGGGCTGGCGATAGCCTGGCCGTGTTCTGGGTCCCGGCCACACTGAACACTCAGGGCCAGGTGTATTCCAACCTGTTTGTGCCTTCCGTCCTTGGGGACGTGACAGTGTGGAGAGGCAGGAAGTTGAGGGTCAGAAGCATCTCCTGGGATCCCTGCTCTGGGACCTAGCTGAGCACTCTCCTGCAGAGACATAAGCATCACAGCCCCTCCCCCAGCCTTTGCAAACAGCTCAGCCCTGCAGCCCTGGCAGTCTTTGGGCCTCAGGTCACCCTGAAAACAGCTCTGGCTGTTTTCTCATCATGTGCTAATTCCGTATATGTAGGCCGGCGCCGTGGCTCACTAGGCTAATCCTCCACCTTGAGGCGCCGGCACACCGGGTTCTAGTCCCGGTCGGGGCGCCAGATTCTGTCCCGGTTGCCCCTCTTCCAGGCCAGCTCTCTGCTGTGGCCCGGGAGTGCAGTGGAGGATGGCCCAAGTGCTTGGGCCCTGCACCCCATGGGAGACCAGGAGAAGCACCTGGCTTCTGCCTTCGGATCAGCGCGGTGCGCCAGCCGCAGCAGCCATTGGAGGGTGAACCAACGGCAAAGGAAGACCTTTCTCTCTGTCTCTCTCTCACTGTCCACTCTGTCTGTCAAAAAATAAAAAAATAAAAAAATTATAATTCCCTATATGTCACAGTAGGGACCTTAAAGATGATAATCACTACCAATTAGCTCTATGTCATTCTTCTCATTTTTGTTGGAGGAAACTGTGCACAGTATTGTGACACACAGGATCTCCTTTATTTCTTACAAAGCTGGAAAAGGTAGTTGTTATCATCCATGCTCAGAGAAGTTACATACCCATTTAAGGCCACACAGCTGGTGACAGCAAGACATCTGTCTTATTCCACACTCTGTTTGTAACCACTGCGCACACTATCTGCCTTTAGTATATGTATTACATACATTTCTTATATATTTTATATTGTTATAAGATATTCTTCAGTTTTTTACTGGGTTTTGATGAAACCACTATTGATGTAATTATTTTAGTAAATTGACTCTGAACAGGATCAACAAAGCATAGGGAATCCAGCATCGGTGCTGTGAATACACTGGGGAGGGTTCCCATGGGTCAGTAGCTCAGTACCTTGCACTGTTCCTCCCTATTCAAAACTGCCCTGCAAGGATTCCAAGTGTGAGTGAGGACAGCTGCCCAGGAAGCCCCAACCTCCTGACTAGGGGAGGAGCCACCGGCGAGGACCGCAACTACTCCTGGGGGGAAATTTCTGAGCTGGAGCCTTTGAGGCAGATCACAGAATAGTGCTTGAACCATGCGTCAAGATACAACTTCTGGAGTACGCATGGAGAAGGAGTTCAGTGAGACCCCCAGATTCCATGTGTTTACTTTTTTAAGGGCTCAAACTTCATGGAAAGTTTCAGGGGTGCTGCTGCAGTTGTTACTTCTGCATGTTTTACTAGGAAAAATTTCAAACTTGCAAAATAGAGAGAATGAACCTGCCAGTACCATCACTCAGCTTCCACCTTTATCAACACAAGACCCATTTTCTCTCTTCTATGTCTCATCCCCTTCAACCCTACCTTTATTATTTTAAAGCAAATCTGATGTCATATCACTTTACTTCAATATTATTTCTAAAAGACAAAGACTTTTTAAAAAGCATAGCCATGGCCAGCACCGCGGTTCACTAGGCTAATCCTCCGCCTGCAGTGCCGGGACACCGGATTCTGTCCCGGTTGCTCCTTTTCCAGTCCAGCTCTCTGCTGTGGTCCGGGAAGG